CATAATAAGCACAAATTAGAGCTCTTCTAACAGAGGGCAACTCAGGTTGCTGCCAGGCTGTGGGTCAGACATTCCTGGAGCACTCGCAAGTTGCTGTTACAGGGTGAGACAAGGAGAGCACATCCCTGCCCCGAGGCTCTCTCCCAGCATCACCAGATGTGTTGAGAAGCATTTGTGCTCCAGGAACGTGAAGGGAGAACCCAATACTCTTAAGCCAAATATCTGGCCACAGGATGGTAGTGATAGGTCTTCAGGTGGAGATCTGAATAAAATCAGCTATAGCAATTACTGATCGCTTGTGTCCTCAGCAGAGTGTAACTGTACTTTCTTCCCAATCCTCCCTTCTGCAGAAAGCCAAAGAGATGCCACTTCTTCTGAGAACGACCCTGGAGCAAGACCAAAGGGGCAAGAAAACAGCCCCTCTCCATGACAGTGTACAGGGGGTGGGATGGGCAGGAGGAGGGCCTTGCTGTGAACGTTAAACAAGAATTTGCTATTGAATCTGTGGACAAAAGCCAACCTGGAACGGCAAGTTGTCTGTCAAATGCCTCTGCTGCAACCATTTTTGTTTAGAGAGCCGCAAGATGCTGTGCAAGGACTGGCACCTCCAAAAGACTTCTGCTCCCATCCCTAACAATTTAGAGCAACACTGCCATGGTTGTAGTGATATGAGCCATTCTCAAGATGCCTTAGCTGCAATTTTCCCCTAGGGGAAAAAACAATTTCAGTAATAATAGACACATCAGACTTTCCTGTCCAAGGTACCTTCCTCCTTTGCAAATTTAGACTATTATTTATTCTGTTTCCGTAGATGAGAAATTTAGATTACTGGTTTTTCTAAGCCTCACCCTCATCTGCATCTTAGACCTGACCTGGCCTCTGGACTGTCCATGTGGCCCCTCGTCACAGTGGGCAGTGGGGAAGGGACCCAGCCGGTCCCGCTGCCTTCATGTCAAGCACCATTCACCTGTGCTGCTGCCACTTAGCATCAGGAAAGGACCAAAGCACAGCTCTGTATGGACAAGCTCTACCTACAGACCCAGCACCACCAGCCACAGGCATCTTTTTCTTGGGGTTTTAGGATTTTAAGATATTGTTAAGGGGAGGGGAGAAACATTTTGCGGGTTTGACTGTTGAAATTCAGGCTTAACTTTGCAAGCTGTTAGTTGAGATGATCTCTGGTAGGATCTCACACCATTCTCTCTTTTAGGAGACGTGTTTTGTGTTCAAGATGGTTTGATAAAACTCTATAAGCTGTTGGAATAAATAACACAGCCTTCAAGTACTGAAGGTGGTTTTTTTCTGCCTGGATGTTTCTTCTTCCTCTGTTTTGCCTTGTAGCTGGTTGAGTTGCAGGGTGGTTATACCAGTTTCCCCTGATAGGGAGATACCAAGCTGTGTTACAAGAGTTCCTTCTGGTTGAGTCTGTGAAACCCCATGCGTTTGCACCATTCAGGTGGAAGCCGATGTAGTTGAGCACAAAAAATGCTAACAGTCTACCTCCACTTTCCCAGGTTTGCTGTCAGGCAGTGCTTTTCCCATGGGTGTTTCATACCCTGGAGGTATTTAAAAGACATGTAGATGTGGTGCTTAGGGACATGGTTTAGTGGTGGACTTGGCAGTGCTAGGTTATTGGTTGGACTTGATGATCTGCAAGGTCTTTTCCAACCTAAACGATTCAATTATATGATTCTATGATCCACCCATGGGAGCACTGCTGCCCTCCATGTTACTACCCCAGAAGTCAAACACAAGGCTGGCTTGGGACTTGGTGGAGTGGCCCAGACACCAGCAGAAGAGGTACCGGTGGGAGGAGGCATCTTCCTTCTGCAGCACAGCGCTATGAGACCATCACTGGCATTTCACCCAGCCCAGGCAGGGCCAATCCAGCTGGAGCTGTGGGAGGCAGCTACAGCCCAGCTGGGCTCAATGGCCGGGGCAGGGACAAGGCAGAGCTGGCCTGAGAAATACTCTCCACTGGTGACACAAGGACAAGCATCACCCTGACAGCCTAGGGAAGAACTGTATGTTACAAGTTTGAGATTTATCAAAGAAAACAAGACCATAAATAAGCAGAGAAGCAGCTGCCAGACAGAAGGACAATTGTCTGTGGGCCTCTGGGAAGCCCTCGGGCCACAGGACCAGGACAGAGATATCCATGGCCCCAGCCCCCACAGGAAATAAGGATTTGGCAGCCAGGTAGAGGCTGCATCTGCTGCTTTGGCAGCTGCAAACCAGCTCGGCTCCCAGAGCTGCCTGGATACTATTGCAGCTCTGTGCCCAGACGGCAGCCAAGAGCCTGCTCCCATTTCCCCGTGCTCAGGGGCAAAACAGCGGGTAGCTCCTGGGCTTGGCTGGCCACACAGTTGGGTCTTTAAGCCCCATTTCCAGTTCTCCTCACTGCCACTGAACAGTACTTTTGGCTCATGCTGACACACACAAAGCCAAAAGGCAGTGCAGAGGGACTGTGCACCACGCAAGACCTCCAGCAGTCAAACATGGGCTAATCTTAGGTCTCTGTGGTCAGAAAATATCTGTTCCAGAACTATATTTAGGCAGATGATTAGGGACCTGTTGGCCAGCTACCCTCAGAGGACAGGCGAGAGGCATCAGGTTCCCCCTGAAAGTGAAAGAGCCAGGTCAGCTGCCATCACTGATTGTGCTGAAAGACCAAGGGCACTGGCTTAATCCAGCCGCATCCTGACTTGCAAAGCTGCTGATCACACGGATGCTCCAAGTCCATCATTTCAGTTGAACATAGGGGCACGCTGGACCTCCTGAAACTCTAACCAAGCACTAAATGATCATCTTTCAGCAAACACTCCCCTGGCTGAGCTGACAGTGCAGTCCAACAGCCAGGGAGCCCAGGCTGCGCCGCTTCCGGCTCGTCACATCAACTGACTGGACAAAATTCAGGAGATAGGCAAAAAGATTTTGTAAACTATTTTTGATATGTGCTTGAAAAAGTGAGAGTACACAGTGACGGTGCTGCTGCTTCTAGCAGTGAGATACGTCCCTTTGATTACTGAAGGGAAAAGGACACATGAGGTTGGAACAACCTGCATCCATAAATCCAACTTGCTTGTCTAGCAAGGGAGCAGGGGTACCTTCCCACTGGCTTGCCCCGCATTAGCTTTCAAAGTGCTCTGACCTGGCAACAGGAGAAGGCAGGAACTGGGCTGCCAAAGCCCCCATCACACCTACTGATTAACGCTCGTGCTCTGGCAGGGCTACGATGGCTCACATTGTGAGCCACGGTTCCTAAGTCTCCCTTGAACAGAAAGGCAAGAGGATTTCTCTTTTAATATAAATTTGTTATTTTATTAAACAGGATTAACAATCAACTGTCCAGAATCCAAACAAGCAACTCTTCTTTAGAAACAATTTTTGCAAAAAAATTACCCAAAAAAGCCTGGTTCTTACTGCAGTCATGTTCTTAAAAGTGATGCTTTATCATTTGCTTTATAAAAGTAACAAATTCACTCTCTCATATCCATCTATCTAACTATATATATAGAGGTGTATATATGCACCATGTGCTTCAGAGATAAGTTTTTTACTCAGAAGACAAATACGGAAGCCCAGAAAGAATGGAAATACTCCCAGCACACAGTCACTGCTGGCTGGGACTGGACCAGTCTCACACACTGTCCACGGCAGTGGTAACCATGGCCCTTGTCAAAGGCCACTTTTTGGTACAGTATCTTTGGAGTAAGCATCTTGACAGACACCTGGGATGCTAAAGCACACTGCACACTCATGTGAGAAAAAGATGGTCTCCTCTCTGGATGCATGGCTTTTGCATATTAAGAAAAAATACTATAATGCACCAAAATAGCTTAGGAATTTTGCTGAATATTTCTGTACAAATTCTCCACCAAACTGAAGATCTGACTTCTAGCCAGTGTTGTGGTTGAGTGAGAGAAACAATTCAAATGGGACCCGAGTCAACATGTGACATTGGGCCCTAGCTTATTTATTTACTTACTCAGTTTTAATAGTGCCTAAAGATTACAACAAGTCAGGAAGAGCACAGAATGGTTAAAACAGGCTAAATCATGGTTTTTCCAAGTCCTAAACAAAGATACAGGAAGAACAAACAGCAGTTCACAGGAATTCTCCAGGATGAGAACAACACTGGGAAAAGTCCCAGAAGGCAGATTTTGGCCCAAAATGGTAAAAATATGTTCCAACTTCATATGCATGTGTGAGCATGGTCACGGCCAGCTGTGAACACAGCTGGAGCCCGAGCCCAAGGTGTGCGCTTCTGTGGCAATGACATTGGGAGGCTTGATACATGGGAGTCCTTATCCAAGAAAGGATGCCAAAAAAATTGTATTTTTTTTTAAATGCCCTTCAGACCTGTGCATGGGCAAGAGCACCAGCTTCCAGCTTGTTCTTGTTCCAGTCTTGTTAGTACAAGACTAACCCTGGAGACTAACCCTGGGTAAATATAGCTGTGGCCAAACCCTCCCACCCACACGGATGGGAATAAAGCCTCTGTTTCTTAACTGCCTGCTCACTCCCTGTCAGCACTAACACACCTTTTTCCTAGAAAGGTGAAGATTAACCCAGGCCACAGTCACAGTTAAAGGTGGTTATTTCTGCACTGCAGTGCAGTAAAAAGACAAGGGCTAGGCAGGTCAGTGGGGCAGGACAGATAAAGCAGGGGAAGAGGGGAAAAGAAAAAAAGCAGGGGCGGTTCCTCTGCATTTGCAGTACATAAAGACCGGCAGATGGAGAAGTCAGTCAGGCCAGGAGGCAGTTTCAGTCTGCTTGCACAACAGCAAGATAGGAAGCTGGATATCCATTTGGAAGAGAGTTTGTGGGGATAGTCGTGTATGTGATAGCCTGATTCTGCTTAGCACTGCAAGGGTTAACACAGGGGTGCCAGTAATAGAGACCAACTCCAGGCACCTTCTCCCAGTGCTCCCACTAGCACACAGGAGAGTCAAGCACGCATGAAGAAGGGCCACTGCTCCATGCTCCACAGGGATGGGTCACAATGCGTTGGGGACCATCCCATAGGCTTCGTACAGTGTGTCCAGCAGTTCCTGCTTTTCCTTCTCAGGTAAGAAGCTGGACTGAGCTGCGTTGATGTTCTGGGGAGGCGGAGGGGGAACACAAGGGAAACATTAAGACACATCAGACATGAACATGTGGTTGTGCACATCCCAACATCTGGCTCTGAGCAGCCACAGGCAAGGGAGAGTGTAAAGTTTCCACTCCAAGATTCATTTCCACAGCCTCATTTTAACAGGGCAACTGCTCTGCCCATCACTAGCAACAGCCCCAAGAGGAAGGAGGCAGGCACAAGTAAAGGTCTTTAAATACCGTGGAGTTCTTAGGATACGCACTTTAGACCCGCTCCTACACTCCCAGCTCCCCTTTGGTCAAGGGCCTCTCCCAGCACGGTGGTGGTGGCAGCCTAATGCACCACTGCTGGGACACAGGCTGGCTATGCAATTTAACCTGCTCATCCGCTTTGTGCGGAGACTTTTCTTCTATTACACAGGGACAACCTGTTTTTGCAAGAGGAGAGGACAGCTGGCAGCAGAACAGCTGTGGAACCAGGATCCCAGAGCTCAGAGCTGTCCTTGTTCCCCCTTCCAGACCCAGACAGCGATGTCTGTAGGAGAAAGGGACTTATTCCTCCAGCCAGTGCTGAGAGCAGGACTGATGCTCTCCTGTAAAGTGCATCCTGCACTTCCCAATCCAAGCAAGCATCTCTGCAAGACACATAGGTGAAAGTGCCAAGCATGACTCTCACTGCAAACCAGGAAAGGTTTGCTTGGTAACCAGGTAAGTCAAACTCCCAACAACTATCCTGTCTTTCTGTCTTGGGTAAGTAATTAGAAAAATCAATGATTAAAGCTAGTTTTCAGGATGTAATCAAGACACATAAATGACTGTGTGCCATAAGTGAAACCAGCAGTCACCCTGTTTCCAGCTCAGTTGTTGCATACTCACGTTACACGTGCAAAAACTGCAAGCACTTTTGTAGCTGCTGAAATCTTGCTAACTTTTGGGCCATGCCTTGAAATAACCCACATGTAATTCCAAATCCAGGATGAAAAAAAGCAACAGGCACCTTCCTTCCTGCTCAGATCTTCAGTGGACAATTTCCACTCTGACCTGTTCCCCATAAAGCCCAAAGCAGTCAGCCCAAGTGATGCAGCCCCTGCAGAGCCAACCCTGCACTCGGAAGCCCCGGCTCCCCACAGCGCTCCCAGCACCTGCCTCCAGCCAGCTCAGCAGCCCTCCTCAGCCTTGTGCTTGCAAGGCCAGTGCAGGATTTTCTGATTTCCATTGAAAACTCTTCAGCTTATAAAGAAAAGCAGCAGGTTGTTCTGGGCTGCACTGGGACATCAGCAGAGCATCCAGCTGAGGCCTACTTACCACTCTCTTGAACTCCTCTTCAGTGAATCCCATGTAGTCCTTCATTATGCTGTAATCCTTATCAATATTGGAGTTAAAGATGAGGGGGTCATCCGTGTTTATAGAATAGTTAGCACGATCCTTCTGAAATCTGCAAGGACATTAGGTTGAACCGGTGGGTAAAACACTGGATATGGCACTGGTCACGCACTTCTCAGGGTAAAATGCAGTAAAAGCAAAAGACCTTGCAGCTGTCCCTGCAGCTTGCATTGCTGGACACAAACACAAGGCTCGGCTTGTCTCACCACCACTCTGCAACAATCTGCTTTTCCAGTGGAGAGAGGAGCAGAGCATTGGGGTGTCTCTTGCTTAGAGGTTCAGCAACCTCAGCTCCCACCCACAAACTAGGGCTAACAGCCAGTGTGCAGCATCTCATTGCCCCACAGCTCAGAGCAGGGGCAGGAGGGACAGGACAGCCTCGCTGAGGGACCCCCGCACCTCCTCCAGCTGCACCAGGCCCCTCTGTGCCAAAGGGCGAGGAGATACCACATTTTCCTAAGTGGTTAGATGTGCATTACCTTTGTAAAGCAATAAAGCAGCTATAATCAACCCAAATCCTGGTTATTTAAGACTGCACATAATTGAGAAGTCTTACTGTGCTACTGGGTGTTTCCCAAAGTCCGGAAGACATGCTCCAGTGAGGTAACTGGACCAAGGGCAGACCTGTTTGGAGGAGTTAAACACAAAAAGCAATCAACCACACAGATCTGAACCCCAGCTGTGTACACAGATAGCTAAGCACACTGGTAAAGCCAGATACAGGTTTAGAGCTTTGTTCACAGCTACCCCTCAGCACTACTCCAATGGACTGGTGTATGTCCCAGGACACAGATACAAAGAGCCCACAGCCCGCATGACAGTGGCAGGACCCATGGCCAGTCAGCCACCAGTCATGTCTTGACCACAGTTAAGAAACCACTGGCGTTAAGTATATACATATATATTCCATATATAAGTTGGACACACCCATTCTGGGGAAAAGGCAAGGAAATCTACCATGCACAGTAGCTCCCAGGCACTTCCACCCTCCACCCAGACAGGCTGCAGTACAGCACCCCGCTTTGCAGAAGGAGAAGCCTGCAGGCTTGAGGTATATAAATTAGTGAGCAAGCTGCCCCAAATTTATCCTCAGCTAGAACAGAATCCATTTCTCTCTGCTACACACCTCCTGCAAGCTGCTGTGCTCGCAGCAAAAATCCCAAACAGCCAGGTGTCACCACCATTTTTGCTGTGGAGTTTTAGTGATCCAGGTTCAACGGCAACATGACTATACACATGGTCAGCACTCAGGTGTCCGGTCGTGTCCCTGGCTGTAGCACAGCCCAAGTGAGGGTTGATTTTCCACTTGGACAGCAGCTACCTGGCTGTCACCCTTCCACCACACATCCTTACCTCAAAATGCATCTTTGCTCTCAACAGCTCCTTGTAGAGCTCAGGGTCCTCCAGGACATGGTAGCCATGGCCAATGCGCTCAGCCTTCAGGAGGTAAACTGCCTAGAGAGCACAGGAAAGCCACGTACAGCCTCCGAGCAGCAGCTCTGCTCCTGCCTGCCCAGAGATCCCTGCCCCACCGTGGGTGCAGCCCATGCCACTGAGCCAGTTCCGGGGAGATCCTTCTCTGAGCCGTCAGGGCCAGATCTCTGCCTGGGTCCCCAGTGTTTGCTCTGCTATGAATACAGAGAGAATTTGGGCTCCTCCTTCCCTGGTGCAGGGGATGTGGGGGCACTTCCCACCCCTGCCCCTCCCTCTGCCCTGAGCCAGGAGCTCCTCATACCTCCTTGATCATGGCAGGCGGGCCAGCCTCCCCAGCATGGACAGTACGATGAATCCCACATCTTTCAGCTTCCTGCAAAGCAAGGGAGGACACACTCCTGTCCCATCACCCACAGCAAGGTCAGCAAACCCTGGGCCAGCAGTGCTCTTGGGGGCACAGCAAGCAACAGGGCTCTGCGTGAAGAGCCCCCAAGCCGTGAGCCCCACGCCCCAAGAGTTGCATGCTCTCTGCTGTAGCACAGGCTGCGAGAGAAGAGCTCGGTAATGCCAGAAGCAGAGAAACTTGGATAGCCTGGTTACCTTCCCCTGGAGCCCAGCCAGACTCCTCCAGGGTCATTTAATACTGGATGAGCTCACCACTGTCTCCTCTCCAGACAGCAGCAAGCTCGAAGCTCTCCTTCCTCCACCCACTTGCCCTTCTGCATGAACCTTGCAGCAATTCCCATCTTTGAAACTTCTACCTTTTTGGTCAGCTGCAGCCAAGTGGGAGAATTTAAAAGCTCCCAGGGCAGAGATGAAGTGATGCTCAGTTACTGAGCGCTTCCCTCCTGTAAGGGGCTGGGGGCAGAGGCAGTCCAGCCGGGAGGACTCTGTGGGTACAGCATTGGGGGCATTGCGAGATGCTCTCCATGGCCATCCCAAAAAAATCCTCTGCCAGAGCAGCCACAGACCACCTGGGCCTTGGGAAGCCATGCAGCCTCGAAGGAAGCCTGGTTCCTGCTTTGCTGGAGAAGGGCCACCCAGCTGCCGCTGGTGGGCAGACTGCAAGTGCCATCTCGCAGCAGATGCTCTTCCTGGGCACTCCTTCAGGGCTTTTCACTCATGATTTTCTTTTCAGTTACTTAATTTTCAGCTCCTCGTGTACTGCACACCCAGGCCCAGCGAAGGTCAGGTCAGGCTCTGCCTGGGATGTCTGCAGAAGAGCCCTGTGTGCATCGACCTGAAAGGCATTCTGTGCTCCCTACATTTAAATGAGTGTTGATTTTTCCAAAACAGCTGATTTTTGACACTTTTTAAAATAAAAAAATCCCTCTGGCTGAAGTACCACACCAAGAGAGACAGACTCACACCCACACAGAGATTTTCCATTTGTTCCCACACAGGATGAAGAGAAACCAGAAACACTCACACCCCCACTCCCAAGACAGGCATCGCTAACTATCCCAACAGGAGCTGGGGATACAAGCAGAGGGGTCAGGAAGAGCACATGAACCGGGACCCTTGCCCATTAACCCTCCTGGCTGCTGAAGCTTGAGCCCCTCCATCCAGGAGGGAACGCATGTCTAACATCCATCCATGGGCATATCTTCCCTGGAGTGCTTTAATCCCTTTTTCAACCCGTTTGTCCGAGGACACACAGTGCTTCCCTTGGCTTCTCCTCCAAGGATCCCTGCTTCCTTGGACATGGCGGCCCTAGGAGCCTTGGCTCTACACTTCCCAGTCCTCCTCCACAGCCAGCAGCCACAGTTGAGTTCTCGCTATTACCTGCTCCAGCAGCCCCAAGAGCTCCCAGGCAGAACATGCCTGCCCAAGGGACATCACAAGTCTCTCCAGTTTCCCTGGATGCTTTATGTACCCCACAGAGCGTAGCAGCAGTGTTTATGGGTATGTACTTCCCTGCCATGCAGGCCAAGAGGGGCCAATGCATAGGAGCAGGCATCTCAGAGCCTGAGCAAGCCCCCAGCACAGCGACAAGACACATCCTTCAGACAGAGGAGTTTGGACCTGGGTCCTGCTGGCACACCAGGGCATGATGAGACACACCTGCCTAACTTTATCAGTTAATAAAACCCCGTGCCTGCATCTCCGTTTATAACCACCTCAGTTCATACAGCGTGGTACAGCAGCACAGGCAGACCTCGTATCTGCTCCCACTGATGGGGGCAAAGACCCCGAGAAAGCCCAATGTTATTTCAGCCCTGAGCACTGCTTGCAAACCACCATCCTTTTTGGCAGTGATGGTGTACCTCCTCTCCCGCTGATGCAGGGGACCCCGAACTTCCACCAGCAAAGAAGAGCGAGGTGCGAAGCTTCCCCTTTGAGCTGCTGCAAAGCGCTCAGGTCTAGTGAGATTCTCTGATCCAGCTCCTGAAGCCATTCCAGCATTTGCATTTGAAATGATCAGATAAAAGCACTTCAAAGCTACAGCTTCTTCTCTGCTCCTCTGGAAAGGCCAGTCTCTTCCTGGAAAGGACTGGAAAGGCCACTCTTCCACCCTCAGCCGTGGTTTCACCAAGCCCCAGGAGCAGACCCCAGCTGACAGCAGCGGGGTGCTGCCGGGGGCGGGAAAACAGGCTCCATGTCACTCGCGTTGCACTCCATGCTACAGGGTAGCGTGCCAAACTCCAGCTCTAAGGCCATATTTAAGCGATGATGCCTGGCATTAACCATTTAGGAAATATAAATGAATACTTTTGCTATTTAACACAACATTTTTAATAGCTGCAATATAAGCTGTCCCAGCTGTTTGCAGTTTAAATAACATATTGCGTGTCCCCTCTTGCATGTCCCCTCAATATATGTTTCTCTTATCATTTATTTTAAGAAGCTTATTAAACAAACCTCGTAAGCCTTCTTATGCTCGGAGGAATTTTCCACCTTCAGAGACTCATCCCCAGCCAGGTCAATGGCCACCACAGAGTTGTTACGATACTTCTTGCAGAGCTCCACCACCTCTGGAGACCAGCCTGGAAGAGACAGCACCAGGGTTCAGGAGAAAGCACTAGTAAGAGTCATACCTTCAGCATTTTTCTAAACAAATCCTGGTCATATAACTAGAAGGCTAGATCTATTTTCTTTGGTCTTTCCTAAAATTTGACACTAAAAAAGAAAGCTAACAAACTCCTAGAAAGGTCTGCCATCTTCAGGCAAATAAAAGCTGCCAACTGATTAGTCCATTGTCAATCAAAGGGAAATCAAATGCATTTAGCAGCTATAAAGCTGTTCTCATCGTGTTTTTCTGCTCGCTTTCAGCAGGGATAAAAAAAGAAAAAGAAAGAAAACAGAAAAAACCCTCCAAACACAGTGGTGACTGCAGTTGGCCCAAAGTAAACTGAACTGCACGGCCCAGGTGCTGTAACATGGCACGTGGGAGAAATCCCTCAACTCACTCCTGAGCTTTCACCCCGTCCCAGGCTGGGCAAGGGCAGGGGAAGGGAAGAACTGGCCTGTCGGACGGAGGAGTTTGGCCTGTGTCATGGAGGAGTTTGGCTGTGTCATGGAGGAGTTTGGGCTGGGGGGCTCCTGTATGACAGTCAGCCCTGCCCTGTTGCGGAACATCCTCAACTCCCCCAGACAAGATGATGGATGCTACTCCTGGTGGGAAGGAGCTGGTCAGCCTCCTGGAAGGCTGACCTTTAACACTCGCAGAGTTTTATCTTTTTGGCAAACAGTGGCAACAAGTGGCAAACAACTACTTCAGAGCTATCCCTAACCAGGACAGAAGACAAGCTCTGAGAAAGGACATGCATCTACGAGCTCATATAGCACCTACCCTTACCAAAAAGGCCAAGAAACAGAGATAAACGGTAGTGTTAATAATTAACAGGCACCCGCTGTGTACATACAGTCCCAAAATCATATGAACACAGAAGAAAATGTGTGCACTTTCATCATCTTTTTTCATCAGTTTCCAACTCACTGGGTTAGAGCCATTATTTTATTAACAAGTTTCATACAAGCTAGTTCTGGCTGGCATCTCTGCCTTTCTCTCAACAGTTCATAAATTACACGGTGGCTTCTCACTGTGCAGCACGTCCCAAATGCAGCGCTCAAGACTCTCGTATCGAGCGCACCACTGGCTCTGGGTACAAATTGGTGCCCTGGGACATTGGCATGAGAATAGCAACTGAGTTGTTTGCAAGAGCAATCCCTCCTGCTGTGCAAGCCAATGCTGCATATGCCCTTGGGTGCTCCCGCCACCTTCTGCCTTTACTACTTGTGTGTTGGCAGGGACTGTAACTGCAGACAAGTGTGATGCTGCCTTACAGCTTTCCAGTTTCTCCAAAGAAAAAAGTTTTCTTCCTAGAAACCAGAAATTTAAGGGTCAAGTTTTCAAAGTACTGTTTGGGGTTGATTGTGCAGGCAGGAAAAAAAAATTACTCAAATCTCCCAGTTTCCAAGAATATAATTTTTCACATTTCTAGACACAAATTAACCGTGTACCCATTAGCAAAAATCTCTCCACCATCTACCCTACTAAGCCTACATATCTCAGAACAGTTTTATGAAGATATTCGTAACAAAGCCTTCACACAGAACAGGTACTGTCATACAACCTTGCTCTGACTGCATATTTCCCTAGAGGAAGATGCTCACAGAACTCAGCAGCCCAGTGAAACAGTGGAAATTGCTTTTTCTTCCTATTCTAGGCCACAGCACCTGTTACCGATGAGGTTCAGAGCTGTTCATTTTATAAAAAACTTCCTATATATGTGACTTAAGTATATTTTACTTGTGTTTTCAGCTTAAACCAGCAGAGTCTGCAGCCAGCGGATTCTCTGGCTACCCATGGTCCAGGCTAACAAAGGAGTACGCTGCTGTAGCAGCATGACCATGAGAAGGAAAATGAGATCTCACGCTTGGTCCTCCTCCCGTGACCGCTCACTCTCAGAACCACCAGATGGTCATGGCAGATGCAACCACTCACTGTGGCAATGGCTTCAGCTGGCCCAAGGAGAGCTCCAGCCTTTGGGCAAGCATTGGAACAGGCTGCCCAGAGAGGTGGTGGAGTCACCATCCCTGGAAGAGTTCAAAAAAATGGGCAGATGTGGCACTTTGGGACATGGTTTAGTGGGCATGGTGGTGTTGGGTTGATGATTGGAATGATGATCTTAGAGGTCCTTTCCAATCTTAATGATTCCTAGTTTTTACTTTCATTATAAATGATCCAGCCACCAAGCCAGGAGGCGTGGGGTTGCTACTCTCCCCTTAATTGGTTTAGTGGTGGACTTGGTAATGTCAGGTTAATGGTTGGACTGGATGATCTTAAAGGTCTTTTCCAACCTAAACGATTCTATGATTCTATGAAGTACGAAGCTATGAGCAGAAATCACACCTCCCCCAGGGAAGGACAGAAGAGCCCATTCTTTCTCTCTGTTAAGACCTTTCAGATACTGGCTGTACCCACAGACCCCCACTCTTGCATCCAGCAGACCCTTTCCCCATAGTAAAGGGAGCAGAGGACCCCCACCAAGAAAAAAACTCCTCCTCCTCAGCACTGTCTGGTCCTGCATTGGACCCAGGGCCACAGGACCGGGGCTTTCCCTGCATTTCTGCAGGGACCTGAACCCAGGGGACGTCACCCCCCGCCACGCGTCACGGAAGGGGAGCAGAGCAGCAGGGGAGCTGCAATACATTACTTGGCATATGGCGCATGCAGCATAGAATAGACCTGGCTTTGATGCGGAAATCCCTTTCTCCATCCTGTAGTCCCTGATTTACGAGGTTAACGACTTCATCTGGAGTGAGGTCTCCCCTGCAGGGAAGCAAAGCCATCAGCAAGAGGTTGGACACCCACCAGGGAGGCAAGCAGGAGCCACAGGTTCAGTCCAGCATCCCCACAGGACAACCCACGCAAAACCCAGACTCCCGGGGTCCCACTCACCTTAACATCCAGAGGAGCACGATGAGACTGCCCAGAGCTGAAGAACACCTTTTACACCCATGCCATGCCCAGATTTACAAGATGTTGGGCACTTTTTTTTGTGCATGCAAAGTTAGCAAGATTTAGAAAAGCCTTGGGGAACTGAATGCCAATCCTGCCTGAGCAGAGGAGCCCGCTCTTTGCCAGAGCATCTCATTAGGGCACACAACTGCCTGCAGCTGGGCAGGAACAAGCATGGAAGCTCAACGCCCATCACAGCATATTTTGCAAGGGGCCACAGAGCTCAGCATTGACTTAATCAGAGGGATTGGATCACCAGCCCCCTACAACATTACCCATCATCTCTGCCAGCTCAAAAATCACATTTTGTGGGCAGGCAGTCCACATCTGAACACTGGTTTCCCTTGCACAGAGACTAGCCCCAGCCGGAAGTTTAAGCACAGCTGCTCTACACATGCAGAATTAGGTGCCCAAAGCAAGGGACGTTAAAACGTAGTAGCACGCAGAGATATTGTAAGAGGAAAAATCCTATCGATGGGGAAGAGAGGTGGAAGAGTGCTGGCGCTCACTGCGTTGGAAGAGAGAGGAGGTTTGGTTACACCAGATTTTGAACACACACTGGATTCTTCATGCCCAACCGGCCACCCACCAGCTCCCCGGCATGGCAGGATCACTCACTCAGTTTGGCCCCAGGGGATGGGATCTACGCGGCAATTGGCCAGGAGGTGAGGGCTGTACCGGACCTCCACATAGATGACGCCTTCTTTTGCTTTTGTTTCCACGAGCTCATAGGCAATCCTCCTCACCGCCTCGCGGTCACCCCTGCAGGGATGGCAGTGGGACTCATCACCAGGACTTGTCATCCTTGGGGCACACTGAGGACAGGCAAGGTGACCCTCAAGGCTGAGCAACGTTAGCCGAGCGGTCCTGCCAAGGGTGGAGGGGGAAGAAGCAAAAAGTGGGGTACTTACGCAATGGCAGGCATGTAGTGATTAAACTTCTCTAGAAATTGGGTAAGTGTCAGTGGTGTTTTGTAGCTGACATGCTTCAGGAGGTCATCAACAGTGCTGCCGGGAAGAGGAACCCCTCTTTTCCTGTGAACGAAGCCACATGTTACTGATGGAGAAGGCTACTGCATTTTTAATCAGTCCATTTCATACAGCAATCGCGTCCCGAGCTGGCAGCATTAACCTCCATTCCTTCGCAGAAAAGATATGGCACACGTTGTCCTTCCAAAATCTCCCTGCAGATGCAGCCCTGAATCTCAGCCGGAAGGCAATCCAAAATACAGGCAAAGCACAAACAAATCGAAATACAAGCCCAGACTGACCCAGCAGGAACACAGCCAAAGCACATTTTAAGCTTAAGAAGTTCATCTAAAGGGGCTCTCGATCATTTCTTAGCACCTCCTAATCCTAGTGGCAGAATTGCCAAAATTCTTTTAAAAAGTTAGTTTCCATGCTCAAAGGCTTGAAAAATCGCGGACACACTCCCAAGCACAGAATCATGCAGGCAGAAGTGTCGTGGCTCATGGGTTTAATGCCAGCAGCTCCTGTGAGCGAGATGGTTCCCAAGCCAAATATTGTGGTGGCATCTCCTCTGATGGGGACACCTCCCACACAAAAGCAAACAGCAGTCCCAACAACCATTCTCACCAAAGGGATGGAGATGGTAAAGCCCATCTAAACTCTTCCAAGAGGAGAGAACCTGTTTGTCCCTGAAGCACCTGGAGTCCCAGGTGGGTGGAGGTGTCCCCAGTGGGGTGACAGTGAGGCTCGAGGGGACTGCCAGCCAAGGATGCTGCATGCCTCCTAGGCAGGCTTTGTCACTCTGCCCATGAATGCAAGCCTAAACTAGGAATAATAACTAGATATTTGTTTTTAATCCTCTTTCCTGCCACAATGAATTACAGCCAACTGATGGATGTCTCCGCTAATAGAGACAAAACACCACAGACAGCTTCAGTGTCCTGATGCCAGCAGTTGTCCCAATAAGCAATCTGCAAGGAAGCAGCCCAGAGGACCCAACCCCGCTCCTGGGAGCAGTAAACATTGCTCATTCCCTGCTCAGGAAGGAAGGAAACCAGCCTCATGCTCAGCCTTCACATGCAATCTGCACAGATTAAGTTGCTGGCACTCGGCAAGGGACATTCACCACTGCCAAGGCATCAGTTTTCCTCCCTGCCTTTCCCTTTCCATGACACTGACACATCAGTCTCTGCTCCAAGAACCACCCTGTGTCTTCCTCCACCTGCCCAGGGAAAGTTTCCCACAGCAAAGCAATTTCCCTGACCACCTGCGCACACTTCCCAAAGGATTGCCTCTGTGCAGCCAGCAGCAACAGCACTTTGGGATGATCCATAGCGCAGAGATGCTGGAGCCAGGTCTCTGGCTGAGGGGGTCTGGTGGATCTTGCCACCAGGGCTTTGGGAGCTGCTGCTGCCCCACCCAACCTGCCTGGTAGCTAGGAACCTTCCCACAGCAAAGCTGCCCCAGGGGAACATGCTCATGCCCACCGGCACCTCTGCATCCTGCCCAGAGCTACCTCCACCCATGGGCAGCACCACACACACTGTCCCACCACAGAGAGGGCACCTCTCCTGGGAACACCCAATCCCATGAGGGGTCTGCCATGGCTCTAAACCCTTTGGCTGGGCAGGAGGGATGCAAAGCCTGACCCAGACCTTGCAGAATTGGAGCTAAAGCTTCTAAAAATGGCAGAGTTCAGCCACTGCCCAAGGGAGCTTGTACAAGCCAGTAGCTTTGGGTTGTTTGTATGTGGTCAGCCACCACCTGGCAAATTTATTTCCAGCTCTTTACCTTTAAAAATAGACCACAAGCAGCTTTCTGGGTTCAGGGCGAGGTTATTAAGGAAGTCCCCCACAGCCTCCTACACTGCCCCATTGCTTTTGCATTTATGTGAGTGCTAGTTTTAGAGCCCATAAATAGCACAGCCTTGCTCCACCCGAGGGCTGGCAGCCCCGGGGGATGCCAGGGCTGTTTAAAAATAAGAGGGAACTCAGCACACACTACAGCAACGGAGGTTTCTACCCTAAGCAAGAGAGAGGCACAGATCCTCAGATGGCTGGAGTCCCCTAGGCTTCAGGGCTCCTCCAACCCTCCTGGGGGACTACACCGGCATTTGTCCTTTGCTGGCAGCAGAGACCCAGCAGAGACCCAGGGAGTCAGCACTGACTCTTCTGTCCATCAGGACTTGTATTCCAGCCCTGCAGCCCACAGTGGCACAGGCAGAGCCAGCAGGAACCCCGACTCAGCTCACTGTGACAATATCCTGCAACAAATTAGATGGATATGTCTGATACACCTTCTTTACTCTGACTGTACTGCAAAATGTATGGCTGCTCCCTGTGCAAAAAAGCTGCTTTAGAGAGAGTATTTCCCTCTAGGATCGCATTGCCTTGGAGTCTGCTGGGCTTACAGGATGCCAGAGCCACTTCCCATCCTCCTCAGAACTGATTTCCTCCCCAGAGTACCAGAATTGCGCCTCAGAGCTGTCTCCTGAAATCTTTAAGATTGCAACTTTCTTGATCTGAGGGTACCTGCTAGTCTCCATTAGCTTTTTGAGCAGTGATAGCTGGAAGAAGTCTTAAGTTTATTTTGCTTACAACTGTGGAGCCAGGTCCTCGCACCAGTTAATCATTCACCCTGGTGCTTCCTGCACAAGCTACGCTGAAGCAAGAAGATGCACGTGCGCTCTGTCAAGAAAACCACCTCTCCAAGTCACTGCCAAGTGGTTTCCTGGGTCACCCTCACACAAGCACGACTCCTCGACTGCTAGCACCAGGCAGACAGTCTGGGGTTCAAAGGCACACAGCAGCAGGGCAGGGAGGAGCACCCAAGCTGGTTTTTCCTCCCAAGACTGTGGCGTGGCAGCACCACTGAGAAGACACTCCCAGCCTGCTTTCATTTAACTTGCTTTTGCAATTAGGAATGTGGAAAAAACAAGAATACACTGACACTGCCATTTCCCAGGTATGCTTCAAAAGCAGACAGCTCTGTTTATGAGACACCTTCTGTACTTTTCTCACAGTGGCTCCTCTTAGCTTGCCTGGCTCTCAGGACCGATGACCACTTCGCTCATGCTTCTGCTACCAGTGCAGCCCCACTGCAACATCGCCTTTTGGGATGTGCTCAATATCCTCACACTGTGCAGCCAGAGAACCCGTCTGCGCAGAGATGAGACCAGCACCAGCCAGGTTTGCTGCCTGCACAGCAAGGGAGAGAGCTTTCCCAGCTTGCCAGCACCAGCTCTTCTATCAGAGAACTGGACAAGCAGAAGGCATGGGAGTAGGGACTGATGCTTTTGGACTGCAGCTCCCAGAGCTTTCTTCCCCCTACAACTCACCTGCCAAAGTGCAAGATGGTTTCTGGTCTAATGGCTCCATCCAGGTGGACATGAAGTTCGACCTGCAATAAGATAAAGAGAAGTTAGTGAGGTACTCTTAGAGGTCCAGCAAAAGTTTAGAGATAAAGCAGCCAGTGCTAACACAGGTATAAATGCAGCTAACACAGGGACAAACTGAAAGCACAAAAACATTTTTTAAAACACCATCATTATAAATCTTATTTTTTAATATCTAAATATTGTCTAAATATTTTCTTATTGCTGCTGCAGCTCACACATTTAATGGATGTTTAGAAATTTATTCCATTTCCAGTAATCTTCAGGAACTGCCCTATCCTTATTTAGCTTCCATGGTTTGGAGTTTGGGAAGAGTGAAAAAAACAAACCCCAAACACCTTGCCAGCTTGCTCCTTCCTGAAGTCACAGACACCCAAGCATCAATTAATTTGCTTAGAGTCATTACACAAAAATGTTGACTTCACTTCCAAGAATCAGCTCTTGATATATTGTTAATTACTTGGTATTATCAGAGCATACGGGCTTTCTAATCCTACACATGGAGTCAGTCCCATGGTATGAGGTGCTGTAAAAAATAAAAAGAACAAGAGCTGCCCCGTAGAACTAACAAGGTGGTTTCAAAATAAAACACTTAAATTTTGACTCATTAAAAATTGGACAGTCACTCAGATCTCTTCACTCTAAAACCCTGTTTCCTGATTATTGCTGAAAATTGGATTTTGGAGAAAGAGCCCCAGAAAAGCAAAAGCAAGCTTTTTCCATTAAGCAGCTGGGGCTTTTGGAGGAACATGACAAATGTAATTTGGAAGTCGAACTGGGAAGGAAAATATTAGCTGTAAAATGTTTCAGCTAGATCTTCGTATTTCCAGAATTGTTTTCTTTTAAGCAGTGGAACAGCCTACAAAATACGTATTTAATTTTTTTAATAAGCAGGAACTTAATACACAAAGTTCTTGTTAGTTACAACACTGTGCAACTTTTCCTGTGCAGATGATTGCTGCAGGATGCTGAGGGTACTAATTGTGTAGGATTCAGAAGAGGACTGGATATTTGCACGGATAACTAAACTGCCCAGAGTTACTAATTAAAACACACAAATCCTCTGGCGTCAGGGTATGCAAACAACACTATGCGGAGCTGGAAGAAAAATGAGTAAGTGGTCCCTACAAGCAGGGCAATGCATAACTGTCCACCTCAAGATCCTTTTGCTCTCCTCTGAAGCATCTGCAAGCAGCTGATGTGAGCTCAACACCGCTGGTCCAGCTCCCGATGCAGGGCTGGCAATGCCCATCTCTGGGACAAGCGCTGATGCCCACGAGTGCGCTATCATCCCCACCACCTCCCAAAGCCCTAGACGCCTGCCACGCAGGTATGGACACCCATCTTCTGACTCACAGTCAAGGTTTTCATTGACTGCTTCTGCTGCAAAAGACCATCATTGCTGAGGTGGGACAGGGCTTGGGTTCGGGCCACCTGCATAGGATGGCCATGAAGCTAGCACTGAAATGTGCACTGGTGGGATGCAAAATGCAGGTGACAGGCCCAGGGCAGCTTGAGCTACTGACCATGCACCATTGCAATCAGCTGGCCCAGGGGTCATGAATATCCCCACAGACACCACTGCAGGCAGGCTGTAAAAAGATATCCCTGTCACTTCTCCTACCCTTAAGACACGATCTGAATCTACAGTGATGAAGATTTTAAAAGGGCAAAACCTGATCTTTCCCCCAACCTCGAGTTATGCAATCCTGCTTATGAGGACTAAATGTCCTGAGAAGCAGCCGACAAAATAACAGACTACAGACATGATCTGCATCACCAGATGTGAACGCCTGGCACATTTTCCACTCTTGAGCTCCGATTCCTATTTCAAAACCATGCAGGCTCCATTCCTTGAGGTTTTCAACAGCCCTTGTGACCTTCTGATGGAGTTACAGGCTTGAAGCTTGGTCATGCTGGATAGAAAAACCAAGCAACCCAAACCTACTGAGGTCTTCTCACTCCAAACATCTCTCAAGCATTTCCTGCAAGAACATCCCAAAATTTCCATCAATGCAAAAGTGAATTCAGTGGTGTCCTTCATCCATGCAAGCTACCTCCTTCTGCCACTACTGCAGGTGAGATGCTTGTAAAGCAGCAAGGTTCCTCTCCAACACCAGCAACAGGCTCTTCCTCCCCTGCCATGGATTTCTTTGGGTCTGGAGAGACAAGAAAATCTTCTGCAATGCTGCTCAATCCAAAAAGTTGCGGGGTTCCTCAAGATCAGTGCTTGGGGGGAGGGGGGGTGTTTTCTGCAGCTGAGAATTAATCTATGCTGTTTAGATTACCGAAGGACATCCAAGTGAAGAAGTAAAGGTGTGCCTACAACAGTCTCCACCAAAAGCCGGCCCTAGATAAGGATGCAATCAGCAGAGGCACAACCGAGCAGCTCAGCTCCCCCAGGCACTTTGCTTGCAAACCCTGCAGGTTTGCAGGTCTGTGGGAGGCTGCTTGCTGCAGATTACACTTCAGCTCTCTTCCTGCGTGTTTGTTTTGAGTAAACAAAGCAAAAGACTTTTCCAGATACAAGCAGGTGACATGACCTTGCTTTAAGTCAAGGAAAGTACCCAGATAAAGATGAAAGAGTTTTCTCCGAACTGTGGCTCCAGGAGACGATGCCTGAGCAAGCAGAAATAAGGTGAACACAGGAGCCCAGCACCTCTTCCAGGGCTCTGCTCCTAAGCACACAGAGGTCCACACACACGTAGTCTCCCACCCCAAGCCCTCTGGTTTATTTGGAGAGGAAGCCTGTGCACACAGATTAAATAGGGATCTCGACACTCAGTCCAGGACCCCAACGCCACCACAGGCTGCACCAGCACTGGAGCCTTCAGCCATGCCAGGACTAGCAATGCCTTCCTTTCTCACAGCAAACCTGGATGTGGTAACGTATGTTCTGATGAAGAATGAGAAAGCAGCAGAGCTCTCAAATGCTTTCCTGGGGCAGGAACAGTGCTCTTGCCCCAGCTGCAGCAACGACCCTCAGGACCACCTCTGGAGGGGGCTCAGCACGGTGTAGCCACCTGCCCTTCTGCACCTCCACAGCGCTGCAGCTGAGAGGACATTCACTGACTGCTGGCCAGTGCATTGAAAACACATAGTGCAATCCAATAAAATCCTCAGAGTTTTACTAAAGAGTTGTTGAAAGCTAGAGGGATGAGTTCAAAAGACACAAACGGCCCTAAATTGTGCATCCTCAGCACAGAAAACCCCCAGCAAGGCTGTCAGAGCAAACCGAGCGCTTTCCATTTTTATGCAAAAAAAGTTTTAGCTCAACCACAGCACATAACTTGATAGTGCAGATATCAGCAAGTCGGTTCAGACTTAAAAAAAGGAGAAGTTTTAAGAGCTCTGGCTTGACTTTTCTCTTCCAAAAATACTGTAATGTTTCCTTTGAAACTTAATAAGCTTCAAAAATAAATTCAAACACAAAATTAGATACTGCAAACAAGTATGTTCCGTCCTGTCATGGTTTAGCCCCAGTCAGCAACCAAGCACCACCCAGCCGCTCACTCACCCTCCCCCCCTGCCCCGTGGGATGGGGGAAAGAATCAGAACAGCAAAAGAAAGAAAACTCATGGGTTGAGATAAGAACAGTTTAATAATTGAAATAAAACAATAATAGTGGTAAAAATTGTAATGAAAAGGAGAACAACTTGGGGGGGGGGGGGGGGGAAGAAAAAAAAACAAAAAAACCCAGGAAAACCAAGTGATGCAACCTCTCACCACCCACTGACCGACACCCAGCCCATCCCGCAGCAGCGATCGCCGTCCCCCAGCCAGCTCCCCCCAGTTTCTATACTGAGCATGACGCCATATGGTATGGGATAGCCCTTGGGCCAGTTTGGGTCAGCTGGCCTGGCTGTGCCCCCTCCCAGCTTCTTGGACACCTGGCAGAGCACGGGAAGCTGAAAAAAATCCTTGACTAGCATAAGCAGTACTTAGCAACAACTAAAACATCGGTGTGTTATCAGTATTATTCTCATACTAAATCCAAAACACAGCACTATGCCAGCTACTAGGAAGAAAATTAACTCTATCCCAGCCGAAACCAGAACATGTTCAAAGATCAAGTCTGATTATTTGTAATTTAGTGAAATTACAAGGAAAAAGTTAACCAAACTTTCCAAATATTTTCAGCTACAGTCAACCCAACAGAATTTCTCTATTACTCTACGGTTTGCTTCAGCAGACCATGGCAGAGCACTTAACTGCTCAGTTCGCCTGTTATGTGGCATAAAAAGTACCATCCAAGCTAAGGCACCTGAGGGAATTTCTGTATTAGGTGGTTTTAGCATCTTTTTTAAAAAAATACACAATGAACAAAGTCAGCCCTAACACCACAGTAAAAGTAACACCAACCTCATCTTTTATTTTGATGGTTTCCAGCAGATGTTAATAGATAAACCAGGCAGCTGCTAAAGTTGCATTATTTTAAAACCCTTAGCAGTGACTTTGCCCAGGATTATTTACCAGCACATTAAAAGGTGGTAATTTAAAGTTCACTCTGTTGATCTCAATAACTGAAAAGCGAAGTAATTACAGCTGTCATTTGTCAACTGTTAGACACACGTGGCAAGAAAATGTTAATAGAGAGCAAAATTCAACAAGAGATAAGACAAACGCCAAACACAGCAAAAAGAATGAACAGTGTTCCCTGAACACTGGTTTTATGAAAGCATGCTGTCAGGAGCAAAGTTATCCTCATCACAAACTCACCACAAACACCCATTTAGAAGCAATAGGTGAGAGTGGATCAGTGGATCAAGACCCACCCAGGATGCCCTGGTGCATCACCCTCCTGCAGGGACAGCTCCCACGGGGTGGCAGGGCCACGTCCCTCCCTGAGCCGTCACAAACCTCGCACCCGCAAGGTGTGGAACAAGGCAACGCTTCGGAGCGATAAACAGAGTCCCGGTACTTCGAGCAGCACCAAGCCAGCCTCTTACTGCCATCACGTTTGACAAGTGGAGCCGGGAAGGTTATCTGAGAGTGTGCCTGCAGA